CGGCCCCGGCATCGCCTCCCGCCTCCCCGCGTGTTGTGTCTGCAGCTTCTTTGCCAATATAGTAATGCTTTTAGTAGAGTGATAGGTAGTCTCGGTTTTGGGTTCTTCTCGTTCTCACCTATGTACAGTGGAAAGGGGTTTTAAGCACAAACCTGCTGCTCATCTAACGTTGGTAATAATATCAAATCAAGAGTTATCTGTGACCGTTATATAGGGATCACAAAGGTGTCACATATTAGAATGCTGACCTTTCATATGGAATTATTGTGAGTCATCAGAGTTTATTTATTATAACTTATTGTTCATATTCATTTCTAAGTTAATTTGAGTAATCATTTATTAAGACAGAGTTTTGTATAAATATTTACTGTGCTCTCTGTGGACTGAAGTTTGATTTATTTTTGTACTACGCGGCATGGGTTTGTTGACACTTTAATTTTGCTATAAACGTGTGGAATCACAAGTCGCAGTGACACTTCATTTTTAAATCGTGAACTTTGTACAAATTTTGTCATGCTGGATGTTCACACATCTTACTCTAAATAAAAAGGTGTTGCCACATCTGTAGCACGATGGACCTCTGAGCAGGCCCGCGTCTTCACTTGCGCCCGGAAGTGCGGTCTGGGGCCCGCAGTGCCGGGGAGGGGGAGGGGCGGGGCCCGCTGACGCTTCGGAAGCTCCAGTCATGGGCTCCGAGGCGACTGGCACCGGGACATGGCAGCCCAGCGGCCTCGCCGCCCTCACCTGTGTGAAGGCCGGGTCCGCCGCGCTTGCTCCCCGCCCGCTGTCCCCGAGGGCGTCGCACCTCCACGCAGGCCTCTGCCCAGGTCACGGCCACAGCCCACTCGGCACGCAGCACACCTGGGGCACCACGTAACTTGCGCCCGCACTGGAACGTTCCCAGGTGGGCCAACCACGTCCTCCCTGTGGACGTTTCTTGGCCTGGTTTTGTCAAGCAGCACACACTGCTTCCTGTTGTCTCATCCCGTGTCCCTGTCCCCTTGCCCCCGGGCAGCTCCTCGGCCTTCTCTGTCCCCCCAGGGCATGGACGTTGTGAAGTGACCAGAACGTCCCTGAGTTGGCTCGATCTGATGCCACCACCTAACAGCTCAGTTTCGATGGCAGATGCTGCGTCCTTCCCAGCATCTCACATCTGGGGACACATGCGGTCACTCCCCTATGACTGGCTCCCTCAGTTCATCCTCGAGCCACCAACGAAGACCATCCCCGAAACTTAAATCTCCCTTCAAATGTGACCTAACGATGCATCGCCCACTTGCTCATCGTTTATGTCAGTACCAGTCACCTTTCAAAATTCTAAAAATACCCTCCGATCATGGACACAATCCCCAAAAGTATAGCATTTGAAGAAGAGACCCCGTAATCTTAGTTAAGTCCAAAAACGTGTTCCCAGAGGTCTTGGACTCCGGCCTCGAAGCCGCCTGGGCCCCTCTTGCCGGTGCGTGTTGTCTGGTGCTTTGCACGTGGCACGTGGTCAGCTTCGTCGCAGCCGATGGGGCAGGGCGCGACCCTTGGCATCCTGGCCTCGTGGTCTCTCCGGGCTGCAGGGCGCAGGCTCCGGCACGGCCCGTCTGCAGGAAGTGATGCAGCTAAAGCGGCGAGTGGTGGCCTGTGCCTGAGCTCTTTTGGTGACTCGGGGCCATCGACCAGATTATTAGGACACTTTTTCCCTCAGGGTCGATGTGGCAGAGAATTTGTATAAACATTATGGAGAGCAGTTTATCGATACTGTCACACATCTTATAAAATTCTTATTTTAGCCCAATAATTCCAGAAGTCTGTCCTAGAAGACCAAAACAATAGTGAATTCACGGAAATAAATAAAACTACCCCGGACTCTCTTACAGCGAGATAGTTCAGCGACTGGTGGTAAATGCGGTGTGCGAAATACCATGGAGTTGTTAAAAGGATGGTTATGAAGATTCGCTAATTACACGCTTGTGATAACACACGTGGACAGCACGGGGAACAAAGCCACGAAGGCCGCGAGGGGCCCCGTCTGACGCGTGTTCCTTGCCGAGAACCACACTGCACTCTGGCCAGGCTCCTGGGGGACCTGTCAAGGTGCCCCTGGTCCCAGGTGAGCAGCACAGTGAGGCCGCTGGGGACAGTGACTGGCCCCAAGGAAGTGACAAAGAAGGAAGAGGAGCACCTGGGCAGCGGGCGAGACGGCGAGCATCCCCGGGCGCAGGTGCGGCTGGGGGCGTGGAGACGAGCCACCCCCGGGCCCCTGTCAACCCTGGGGCTGCACGTTTGCTTTGTCCTACGAGCACCCAGCGAAAGCCCACGATGACATTTTTCTCCCCTTGGACAAAGAAATTAAATTTTTTAAAAAGAAAAATGCCTGAGTCTGCTGAGGATTCTAGAGGGTTTAGGGGAGGAGGCTCTGGAGGGTCTGCACACGAGCAGAGAGGGCACAGCCCCCAGAGCAGATGGAAGGGCAGGGGACGCGGTCGGGCAGTGCTGCTGCCGGCCAGGACCAGGGACCCCGTGGGGCGGGAGGACATGTCCGTGTTCACCCCTCCTGCTAGGAATCTGCTTCTGTGGTGGCCGTGGCCGCCCGCCTCCTGCCCGCACCTGCTCTGTGCGTGTGAGTGCGAAGCTGCCTCTGCCCAGGGAGCCCTGGCAGTCGGCCCGGCCGGCTGGCGTGGACACTGGCCCTGTCGGGCACCGCAGCACAGCGCAGGGAGGCGGGCGGCCGGCATCCGCAGCAACTTACAGTATATACTAAGAGGGGAAATCAGACTTTCATCCTTTTCATATTTCAATCACATGGCAGCCCAAACAAGCCATTGGTCGCCGAAGTGTATGGTACAGTCCCTGAAGGAAACGGAAAAACCACGTGAACACAGATTGGATGCCAGCACAGCACACGCAGTTGGAGTAGGCCCACGGGCGGCAGCACAGACGCGGCCGCCGGGCGCACCTGCACCCCTGCCT